CGAGAATACAGCGAAAGGAATGCCGTCTGGGCCCGGAGAAGAGCTCGGAAGGCTTGCCAAAACACCGATTACATTATCGATCGTTGGAGTCAGATCTTCGAGGGTTGCATGTAAGCTGCCCCCCGCTATGTCGATCCCTCGCCGCCTCAGATTCCTGTTTGTCTGCTGCTCAGCGAAAACACTTTGCCGATGCTCCGTCAGAATTCGAGCCACCTCCTGGGGTTCTGTGGCAACCGAACCTGCGGGCGGATCCCTGACTGCCTGCGCCGACCCAGAGGATCCCGGCGCCAGCTTGGAGAGGGAAGAAACAATATTCGAGGTGCGTTGCTCGCGCGCGCCCTCTGGAAGGTTGCCGCGGCGCCGTCGTAAATCACCCATCCTGTCGTTTGCAACTGCTTGCGAAAGCTCGAGGGCGCGATCCTGGAGAAGTCGAAACTCCCGATGCGCAGGCGCAAGTGGAGCCGCGGGCGCCGAGCGAAGCCGGGGATAAACGGCATGTAACCGTTCCATGATAACCAGATTCCCAGTGATTCCTTCGGGCTTGGGATCCCTTACTGAGCCTCCCAGATGTTCTTTCTTTCTGATGGGCGCAGATACTCGCGACGAAGACAATGCCGCACTACCAACTACCTGCGACGCGCTACGACGGACTCCGCGAAGAGCTTGGGGGTGCAGCGGTTGCTCAGCAAATGGACTCGCTGGGGCGCAGAACGCTCTCGGTCATGGCAGCTGCTTCGCCCATGAGGTCAGGCGCGGCGACGCACCTGTCATGCCGGCGCGGCTACGACGTTTTTTTTCGCCAGAGGTGTGGTGTTTTATCAGTCAGTATGTCGGATGCCTCCTCTATGGCGCTCATGGATGTTATTTATGTTGCCGCCGCTTTCTCATTGCCCCGTGCGGGGCGGCGGCGTCTGCGACTTCGGAGGCGGAGCAAGAGCAAGCGAGCGGGAGGGGGCAGAGCCACGTTTTGTTGGGAGAGCGTTCTCCTAAGCAGCGGGTGGGTGATGGGGGGGGGGGGGGGGGGGAAGTAGCAGTAGCAGTGCGTGCGCGGGGGGGGGGGGGGGGCGCGCGACGAGGAGGGGGAGGGGGGGGGGGGGGGAGAGGAGGAGGAGGAGGAGGAATAGGAGGCGGAGGAGGAGGAGGGGGAGGGGGGGATAGGGGGGGAGGAGGAGGGGGAGGAGGATAAGGAGGGGAACAAGGATGAGGAGGGGAATGCTCGAGGGGAATGGCAACGTGGCCCGCCCCGCTCCTTGCGACAGCATCGCGACAAAGGAATGGAAGGAGGTTTACCTTTTCGCAGGATGCGGGTGTGAGCATCCACCTGTGCTGGACGCCAATTCGCCGTTTGCCGCGTCCACGGAAGACCTTCTTAAAGCGCTGGCACAGCGACTTCCAACGGGTGGCGCGGAGGCAGACGATGAAGGCCAACTACACCCTTAGGCGCTCACCGCGACTTTCAACCAGGCGAGCACCAACCAGGACAAGAAAGGCAAGCCCCGCCCTGACATCGATCAAGCACAACATCTACATCACGCGGGCATCCAGGCTCGCAAGGCACGTGAAGCTCTGGGCGCTGCGGTCAAACACCAGGCCAATTGCCGGGGGCGGCTCGACGGGGCGGCGGCTGAACGCACGGCAAAAGCAAAGGCAGCAGTGGAGGCAGAACAACGACGCCAACAGCTCTTCAAACTGTCACTGGCGGACAGACTGGAAGAGGAGGCCGCCCGACCAACCAGCGCGAATGACCCGGCAGGTCGGGGACATTGAGACCACCATCGCCCTCGACGGTGGCGACGTCTTCAAACTGGATGAGCACGACCTCGGCCCACGAGGGGGTCGCCCAATGGTTTGAAAAAAAAACGCGCGGGAGCTCCTCAAGGAAGCATGTTCTCTCATCGGCAAAGCAATCGGACCGCCGGCGAAGGGCTCGGCGAAACGGCGGCGCATCATGGAGGGGCGCAGGACAACGCTGGCCACAACGAGGCGCCAAGCCGAGACAGGGGCCAGCGCAGCAGAGCAACCATGGGAGCCAGAAGCAGGCCAATCTGAAGGGGACCCCCCTCCAGGAGAGAGCCCTTTTCAGCAGGAAGCCGACTAGGAGAGGCACAGCCGCCGCTGACGGCAACACAGGAGGACATCAACAAGACGCTGGCGGGGAGCAGGCCCAGGCTGGAGGAAAGCAGAAAGACCCGTGGGTAGCAGTCAGCACCGCAAGAAGGGTTACCAGGGGAAGCAGAGAACAGCGACGATTACATGACAAAGGATCCAGATCATAGTATCAACTCAGAGAGGCAGAACCGCGGCATGGGTGACATCAGCAAGGCAGAGCAAGTAGGGTAGCTACAAGGGCGCAGTGACGGAGGGGGCGAATGTGACGATGAAGGCGACCAGCATTGTTTTCTACGCGGCGAATCACGCGCAGTGGACGGATCGAGGCTTCAAATACTTACATGCGGCACACATGGACGACATTGACGTACATTTGGGAACAGAGACCCGTCTACGAGATGGAACACTATTCCAAACACAAAAAAATCTACAAGTCAGGGTGGAAATGCACGGCCAACCCAGCAGTGCATGCAGTTACTGATGGGCGCTTGGGACATGGTGGAATTTGGGTATTGGCCAAACACAATGTAGCCTCGAGAGTCCTCTACCCGTGCAGAATGGATGTGACGGGCGGGCAACCATCAGCACTACGGAACGCAATGGGCGGCCAGAACAATGCGACAACATGGGATGCATATGACGTTTATTTCAATTTGCCTGAATGACAGCGAAGGCATTGGGGGCGCCAATGGACGGATCCTCTCAGAATTGGCAGGATATACCAGAACAAATACCAAAGCATACATTGTTATGGGAGATTGGAATGCGAGACCGCAGCAATTATGGGATTCAGGTTGGCCGTCATATGTCAGGGGCCCCATCGTTGCGGCACCAGCTGCTGTCACAAGTACCAGTGGGCATGGTCGCGCCCGGGATTTTGGAGTGGCTTCGGAGGAGATGGCAGGCGTGATCACATTGCGATTCGACTTGAAAGGCCCTTGGTTCCCACACGCCGGCCTACGAGGAGAACTAGGGGTGAATCGTGGGCTTCTTCGAGCACGTAGTCTGATGCCAGTGGCGTCACTTGTACATGGCGCCTATGGCCCAGACTTACCGCGCGAAAGTTTTGCAGAACATAGCGCTCCAGAGCGCCGGCAGGATCACATCGTCTGGGAGGAAGCCACCAGTGCGCCCCTTTCTCAGAAGTACCAGGCCTTCTCGCACCAGGCGGAATGTTTTCTTTTAAGCACATCGGGGAAGGAGATAGGAATGCAACGGGGAGGAGACTGCCCGCGGGCACAAGTTTCGAGCCTTTTCGCTGGGCGACCACCAGGACGTTTCGGGAATGATTGGGGCGTGAACTTCCGGGGCGGCATCAGGTCCAGGATTCCGGAATTATTTGTCATGCAACGGAGTGGAAAGCAGAAGTCGGAGATGAACCAGGCACGAGCGATCTGCCATCAGCCACGAGCCTGGGCTGAAGACCCAACGCACTTCGGGACCCTCGTTGCAATGCCCGAGGGAGCACGTCAAGTGGGGCGAGAGCTGCTGGCAGAGATTCCTGAGCGCCCAGGAAGCCGGGAAAAGGTACGCCCCCTGCTCAATAAAGCCAAGGAGGTCTTGGCTAAAGTATGTCTTGCAGCCATGAAGGAGAATAGTGAAGGTTTCCAGAAGCACCTAAACCAGAGTCTTAACCGCGGGGCCAGCTGGGCCCACCGTTGCACGAGGACCTGGGAACAGCCAGAACCGAGTGTTGGAATTGAGGTTGGCCCTGATGGGCTGGGGCGTACCGACCCCGAAAGCATCCTGCGCAACAAGAAAAAAACCATTAATATGGGCTGAACTATGGAAGGGCACCGTGGGCTCCGAGAAGGACCACTTCCCCGAGTGGCTGCGAAACTTCAGGGGCAAAGTCAGGGAACAACAGCAGGGCAACCCCCTCCCCGAGTTGACCATTGAGAACATGACAGAGGGCACGAGGCATGTCAAGGCCCACGCGGGGCCTGGTGCGGACCCATGGAACCCGAGAGAGTGGCTTCACCTACCGAGAGCTGGGGAAATTCTGATATTGGAAATGTTACAAGATGTTGAAGAGCAACTTGCGCGGCCCCAGCAAGCCCTCATAAACATCGCGGCCATGACCCCGAAGCCCCCACCAGGAGCAGACCGTCCTATCGCGCTGACCCCAGGGCTTTATCGTCTGTGGAGTGTCTTGAGGAAATCGCCAGTGACCACGTGGGAGAGAGAGCGAGCGGGTTTCTGGGATTCGGCAGCGAAAGGAAGCAGCCCCGTGAGGGCGGCAGTTTTGAGACAATTGAAAGCGGAAGCGTGAGGGGTCCTGAACATCCATTGGGTCCAATCCTTTTGGGATGCAGGGAAGTTCCATGACCTCGTCCAACCGTCGACCCTTGCAGATCTGGCTCAATCGTTTCAGTATCCGCTAGTCCCGTTCTATCTTGCCCTACTGCAGCACCTTGCTGATCGTTGGCTGGCAGTGGGCCGAACTCTCTCTGAAAATATACACGCTGCGAACTCGATCATTGCAGGGTGCATGCAGAGTGTGGCCTGGCCAAGAATGCACCTCTGGGACATGCTGGGCGACGCGCGCAGAAGCCCCCCCCCCCCCCCCCCCCCCCCCCCCCCCCCCCCCCCCCCCCCCCCCCCCCCCCCCTTTTCAACCAGATTGACAGCTGGGTGGGCGACTTGGCGCAGATCAATCTAAGCAGTAGAGTTTCAGCACTTGGACAAGCAACGGAGGTGGCAAGCATTCTGGTTGAGCAGATGACTCGGAAAGGCTTGGGGATTTTAAAAAGAGTCAGTGGGATTATGCAGCACACCGGCACAATGATATGAACTTCGACGTGCCATCGCCACCATCGCCCCCCCGATCAAAGTCGACGCGGAGGCCAGGGACTTGGGCGCAGACGCAACCAGCAGCTCGAGGACACAAG